CTCTTCTCCTTTGATGGTACTAGGGTCCTCTGTTTCTGGATTGTAAGACTAACCAATCCCCTGTTTTTGTTACAAAACTTCTACCTTTACCATTCTGACAGTTGCAATTAGTCATGATAACAATTATTCACTATTGAATCATATGAATCTTATCTCCATCTCCTTTCACCACACCCATCTAGACAAGATGAAACTATTCAGTGGGGACTCTTTCTCCCCCCAACACACACTTTTAAATTAAACTAGTTGAGTTCTGATTATCAAGCCATCAAGGCTAGGACAAAACTTATACTGAATACAAGTTTGGGTGTTCTTGTGCATCTTCCCTCACTTCATATCAGCTGGATATTTCACTCTAAACTCAGGCCCTCTGTGGGTATGTCTTTGTCCATGGGCACAAGGGTCTCCAGGTCTCACCACACTTTGGACCAATCAGCCCTTCCTCTTCTCTCTCTCATCTACAGGTCCACAGGTAGAATATCTTATTTCCTAAAAATTTGTACACAGATAGTAGTGATAACACACAGTTATGTAAAAAGGCAGTAATGTAGTAGTCAGGTAATGCAAAGGCTCCACACAGTAAGAACTACATTAGGAATCATAGGGACCATCATTCGGGCCTGCCAGCAGCTCCATGAGAGCAAGATGAGGCTTTCTGCTTCTGCAAAGATTTAACACCTTGGAAACATTACACAGGGTTGCTCTGAGTCAGAGCTGACTCAAAGGCACTTAACAACAACAAAGTAGTACTTGTGGAATTTTGTCCTTGTTAGGTGTAATTGAGTTGGGACCGACTCACAGCGACCCAAGCACAACAGAACGAAACACTGTCCCATTCTGTGCCAACCTCACAATCGTTATGTTTTGGTCCATTGCTGTCCACTGAGCCAATGTATCTCATTGGGGATCTTCCTCTATTTCTCTGATCCTCCACTTTACCAAACATGATATCCTTCTTCATGAACTGGCCCCTCCTGATAATATATCCAATGTATGAGAGACGAAGTTTGACCATCCTGGCCTCCAAGGAGCACTCTGACTGCACTTCTTCCAACACAGATCTGTTGGTTCTTTTGGCAGCCCATAGCACTTTCAGTATTCTCCTACAACACCATAGTTCAAATGCATCAATTCTTCTATGGTCTTCTTTATTCACTGTCCAGCTTTCAAAGGCAAATACCATGGTTTGCGTCAGGGGCACTTTAGTCCTCAGACTGACATAGCTATTCGTGATTCAGTCATTGCTCTTGATTGCATTAGGCAACTACATCAAATGATGTATTTGATTTCTTGACTGCAGCTTCCATGAGTGTTGATGGCTGATACAAGCTAAATGACAATTTCAAACTTTTCTCCATTTATATGGTTGTTGTTCATTGGCCCAGAGATGAGGAATCTTTTTATATATATATATAGTGAGGTTCAACCCATGTGGAATGAAAATCTTTGATGTTCATCAGTATTTTAAGTCCTCTTCACTTTTAGCAAGTAAGGTTGTTATCATTTGCATATTGAAGGTTGTTACTGATGCCATGTTTTTTCCTCATATATGGATTAAACAAGATTGTGAAAAAATACAACCCTGACACACACCTTTCTTAACTTTAGCTGTTTGGTATTCCCTTGTTCTTTTTGAATTACATCCTGTAATTCTATGTACAAGTTGCTAATGAGCACAAGTAAGTGTTCCAGAATACTCATTCTCCACAATGTTGTCCATAGCTGGTCATGATCAATAAAATCAAAAGCCTTTGTGTAGTCAATATAGCACAAGTAAACATCTTGCTTTCAGCCAAGATCCATCTGATGTCAACAATGATATCCCTTATTTTACGTCCTCTTCTGAATCCGGCTTGAACTCTTAAAAGATCTCTGTCAATGTTTGATTATAGTCATTTTTATATTATCTTCAGCAAAATTTTACTTGCATGTGGTAAAAATGATATTGTCTGATGACTTCCACATTCTGTTGGGTTGCCTCTCTTTGGAATGGACAAAAATACAAAATGGACAAAAATACAGTCGGTTGGCCAGGTAGTTGTCTTCCAAATTTCTTAGTATAGATGAGTGAGTGCCTCCAGTGCCTTACTGGTTTGTTGAAAGATTTCAATTTATATTCCATCAATTACTAGTGACTTGTTATTTGCCAATGCCTTCAAAGAACCTTGGATTTCTTTTTTCAGTATCATTGGTTCTTGATCATACACTACGCTTTGAAATAGTTGAGCACTGACCATTTCTTTTCGGTAGAGTGACTCTATGTATTCCTTCCATCTTCTTTTGATGCTTTCTGCATCATGCAATATTTTTCCCATAGAGTACTTAAATACCAAAGTTGAATTTGAATTTTATCTTCAGTTCTCTCAGCTTGAGAAATGCTGAGTGTGTTCTTCCCTTGTCATTTTAAAACTTCAGGTCTCTGCACATTTTGTTATTGCATTTAAGCTAATTTGTGATGTTTTCTAATCAGCTCTTTAACCTCCTCATTTCTTCCCTTTGCTTTAGCATCTCTATGCTGGAAAAGGAGTTTCAGAATCTCATACCCAGCACCATCCTCACAATTGTTACATATAAGCCCATTGCTGCTGCCACTGTTTCAATTCACCATCTTGGGGGTCTTCCTCTTTATCACTGACTCTCCACTTATCAAACGTGATGTCCTTCTCTAGGGACTGGTCCTTCCTAATAACACATCTGAACTATGAGAGACAAAGTCTTGCCACCCTGGCCTCAAAGGAGCATTCTGTACTTTTTCCAAGAAAGACTTGTTTGTTCTGGTAGTGCATGTTACTTTTTAGTAGTCTTCTAAAATGTTATAATTCAAATGCATTAATTCTTATATGTTCTTCCTTTGTTGTTTTTGCTAAGTGCTGTTGAGTTGGTTCCAACTCATAGTGACCCTATAAAGGGATTCCAAGAAGGACCGATCTAGCAGTTCAAATCAACCTTGTTGTCCAGTGCATTATCCTGTAGCACCATACCAGTACACTATGGCTTGGGTGAGGCACAACTTTGTCATCAGAGTGATGTTTTTGCTCTTGAACACTTTAAAGAGGTTTTGTGCAACAGATTTGCTGGATGTAATATGTGGTTAGAATTCTTTACTCCCTTGAGTGTTGATTGTGGATCCAAGCAAAATGAAATCTCAGACAACTTCAATCTTTTCTCTATTTATCATGATGTTATTTATTAATCCAATTGTGAGGATTTTTTTTCTTTACATTTTGGTTCAATCCATCTGAAAGCTGTAGTCTTTGATCTTCATAAATAAGTATTTTAAGTTCTCTTTGTTTCCAGAAAGCAAGGTTGTATCATCTGCATATTGCAGGTTGTTAATGAGTCTTTCTTGAATATTGATGCCATATTCTTGTTCACATAATACAGTTTCTTGAATTATTGGATCAGTATACAGATTTAATAAGTATGGTCAAAGGATACAACCCTGGTGAACACCTTTCCTGATTTTAACCCATTCATTATCCCTTTGTCTTCTTGATGCAGCTGCCTCTTAGTCTAGCTGCTGGTTCCTCATCAGCACAATTAGATCTTCTGGAAAACTCATTCTTTATAATGTTATCCATAGTTTGTCATGGTGCATATAGTCAAAAGCCTTTGAATAGTCACTAAATCACAAGTCAACATCTTTCTGATATTCTTTGCTTTCAACCAAAATCCTTCTGATGTCAGGAATGATATCTCTAGTTCCAAAGTCTCTTTGGAATATGACTTGAATTCTGACAGTTCACTGTTAATGCACTCTGTAACCCTTTTTGAATTATCTTAAGCAAAATTTTATTTACATGTGACATTGATGGTAATGTTGGCTGATTTCTGTACTTTGTGGGTCACCTCTTTTGGGAATGGTCACAAATATGGTTCTCTTCCAGCTGACCAAGTGGCTGTCTTCCAAATTGTTTTACATAGACACGTGAGCATCTCCAGTGCTGCACCATTTTTTTTTTTTTTTAACATTTTAATTTGTATTCCATCCGTTCCTGAAGTCTTGTTATACACCAATGCTGTCAGTGCTGCTTGGATTTCTTCCTTTAGTTACATTGGATCTTGATCATATGCTATCTCTTGAAATGGTTGAACATTGATCATTTCTTTTTGATACAGTGTTTCTTCCATCTTTTTGTATGCTTGCTACATCATTCAATTTTTTGGCCATAGAATCTTTCATAATTGCCTATCGAGGCATAAATTTTTTCTTCAATCCTTCATAAACAACATATGGTAGTGGTGGTGGTTATGTGCTGTGGATTTGGTTCTGATTCATAGTGACCCTGTATAGGTTTTCCAAGACTGTAAATTTTAGAAGTCTCATCTTTCTCTGATGGAAGAATTGGCAATTTTGAACTGCTTACCTTGAGGCTAGTAGCCCACCTATGTTATCAGTTGGATCTTATTCTTTTTCACCCAAGTATTCACACTGTTTAAATTAGTATATTTGGTCCATTTATATTTAAATAGTATTGATAAGTTAAGATATATTTTGGCATTTTGTTAATTATTTTGTTTGTTTTCTGTTTCTTCTTCCTATTTCCATTGTCTTGCTTATCTTGTAGGTTTCTAGAATTTTTTAAAGAATTTCATTTTGATTTCTCTGCATTGCCCTTTAGTTTACCTGTTTGTGTAACAGTTGTATCCAGTGGTTGTGCTTGAAATAAAATATAAACATACAACCATACTTATGATTTCTATTGCCGTTATGATACTTCAACTAAAGAGTGTAAATTTCACTTTCATTTTACCCAACTAGTAAATTGACTCTCATCACATTTTAAATAGAAATGATTTAAGTAATTTCTGTACATACGCTGAGCATCGTATTTGATGATAAAATTTTGTTTAACAACTTCATGAGGACAATGACAACAATAACAACTTCATGAGGACCACAAATCTCAATGTTAGATTTATGCTTTGTGTGTATTTGTCTTGATTTAATCTATATATTGATCTAATTTCTCAATAAATCAAATAATGATATTTTTTAGATTCTGAAGAAAAATGTGGGGCTCCTCCACCTATTGAAAATGGAGACATCACTTCGTTCCCATTACATGAATATGCTCCAGGATCATCAGTTCAGTACCAATGCCAGTCCTTTTATACGCTTCAGGGTACCAACCGTGTAACATGCTTGAATGGACAGTGGTCAGAACCACCAAAATGTTTAAGTAAGTACTTCAATATTTGCTTTAATCCTGGAAAAATCAGAGTAATGAACATTATATAGTGCTGTTTATAATGTGTTATTTAGAAATAGCAAAACATCGTTGTGTTGACCACCCAAACTCCACATATGAATAAACCAAAACATTTGACTACTGAGTAAATTCTTGTTCAGTGCAACTCCATTCATTTCAGAGTAGAACTGCTCCATAGTGTTTTCCATTATTAATATGTGAGGATGTGAAGTTTCACAGGAAGTATGCTTTTTATTGAAATGCTATATATGAGCATTTCTTTAATACAAAACTTTTTAATACAATAATTCATGTTATGTTTCTCTGATAATAAGGTTAGTTATCACTCATTGTGCATAATATGCCATTTTTGCATTATTTGTCAATTTAAGGTCACTGGGCAGGCAAATGACTGGCATTCATCTACTAATTTGAGGGCTGGTTGTTTGAACCCACCAATGAATGCTGGGGAAAAAAGCCCTGGTGATCTGTTTCCAGAACTATTTTAGACAAGATCCCTATAAAGCAGTTCTACTGTGTACCACAGGATTCTAATGAGTGATCCAAAATTGATCTGACGGCAATCAGTTAGTTTAGTTAGGTTTACTATTTTAACAATAAATATGTTGTTAAATGAGGTCAAGTTGGTTCCGACGTATAGCGACTCTGTAGAGGGCTTCTAAGGAGCAATTGATAGGCTTGAACTGCCAATCTTGTGGTTCACAGTCCATTGCTTATCTTATAGTGCCACACCAAAGCTCCATAATCGAATATACATGCTGATTTTTCAAAGGGACAGGAAAGATTTAGAGAAAGAATGTTTAAATCCATAACATTCAACTTGAAGACCTAAAAGTCTATGAAAATATGCCTTTTGGGCTTGTGTGGTTTTTTGTTGTTGTTTTAGCTTTTTATTGTGAATTGAGTGAAGTTTTACAGTCCAGTCATCAGTTTTACATTCAACAAACCATGCATTTTGCTTTAATACGTGGTTCCAATCCGCTCCATGTACCAACAGTTTTCATTATTTACCTCTATTCACTTTAACTATTGCATTTCTCCCTGCATTTCCTGCAACCTTCATCTTTTCTCTACTCATGTCTCTCTTGTTGTATGCTGCCTGCCCTGTCATCCATGTTAACTTGTGTCTACTCTCTCTAGCCCATGAATAATTTCCCCTCCCAGTACATCCCTTTGCAACCATCACAGATTGTTTCTTTTGTTGAGAAAAACTTTTCCTAATGTTTTACGACATTGATTTCATACAATGTTTGTCCTTTTGTGATTCTTCTCCAGGTTCAGACACATTGTTTGTTTTTTCCCAGATTCATCAGTATTCCTCAACATTTTGAAGTATTCCATTGTGTATATATAATAAAGTTGATTTAGCCATTCTTCTGTTGCAGGGCATTTAGTATCTATATTCAGGGCACTCAAGCTGGAAGCAGTGTGTGGGCACCCTTGATGGTGCTGGTTTCAATGTCTTTTAGCATCACAGAGAAGCTGGGAACAGAGTGAATGGTTAAATGCTGGTCTGGTGACTCAGTAGATTCTGTAGGCCTGGAGCCAAGCCCACCTGAATCCAGGCACCTAAGTGGCACATCTAAATGGAGCAGTTGACCTCCACTTCACACTAGCATGACTTCAAACACACAGCTCTGAATTCTTAGAAAGCAGGGTTTGTGCTGGAGGCAGTTGAGGGTAGGAGCTGGTCATACTTCTGGTCACCAGAGGAACATGGGGAAAAGAAAAAAAATCTCTCCTTTTCTATAACCCATGCACATCTGCTCTGCCAGACCTCCCTCTAAGGGAAAACCTGTTGACAAGATGGTGGAGCCTCATCTGGTCAGCCATTCACCAGTCAGTCTATCTCTCTCACTGCCCCTGTTCAGCTTTTCCTTTCAGCAAGCATTCCATCCACCTCTCTGACCTTTCTTCTGTTGTTTAGGATGGCAGAATTTTTATCTATTCATGTTTTGCTTTGTCTCTTTGATCTTTGTTGTAGAGGCTCCATGTAGTACATCTGCCTTGTCTGCTATCTTCTAAAATTTTGTTGTTGTATATGCTGATAATTTATGTTTATCTACTTTCAGATGCATGTGTAATATCAAAAGAAGAGATGGAAATACGTAACATAGAGTTAAGATGGAAATATGATGAAATAGTGTATTCCAAAACTGGAGATACTGTTGAATTTAGATGTAAATGGCGATATTATCCTGTGACATCCCAAGACTCTTTTCGAGCAGTGTGTCATGAAGGAAAGTTGGAATATCCCCATTGTCACTAATGCCACGGTCAAAATGCATTTATGTAATCAAAGAACATACATTACCTAAATTTTGTATCGTTAACCTAATTTTCCAAATTTTATTTTTATAAGTGTTCAATCATTTTTATTCACAAATTAGATTTTGAATTAAATATTAAATGAATGATGTAATTATAATCTGAGAGATCAGTATCTGACCTAGTATATAGAATATTAAAATGTGTCAATGCCAAATCTGTATGTCTTGTTCCTAAAGCATCATTAGAAAGAAATCAGAGGAATTCACTTCAATGTCTGCTTTGGACCATCACTTTCATCACACTCTCAAAGTCTTCAGTATAGCATTTGACACACTCTGGAACTCTTAAAGATCTGATGGTCTCCATCTTCAAAGTAATATTACATGACAAACATTAAAAACCATACTAAGTCTGGTCTACACTAGTAATAAAATATAAGTAGTTATTTATCAGTCCCTGATATTAGTTTACTTATCTATCTTTAGATGAATACGCTCAAAAGGATTAAATTATGATCTATAAGTTATTTATACACTTAATAATTCAAATAAATTATAGCAAGATATTAAAATAGAGTTGGGAATATAACAGTAATATTATTGACCAAAAAAAAGTCATAAAAATCCAGTAGGCAGGGCTTGATTGTGGACTAGACAGAAAAGCAGTGCAGAACCCCATCAGTAAAATACAAAAACCAAATGAAACAGATTCACAGGACAGTCCCAGAAATCTGAACTTCAGATAAAGGGATAATAAGTGGATAGAGTGCTTACCAGGAATAAGATTTGAAGTAGAAGCAAGAAAGGATGTGGCTTCTGATTTGGGGTGGCTAACATGTCTACCATAACCATTATTAATGGGAGTGAGCAGACAGACATTTAATAATGCACTCCCATTGCAGAAAACTGACACATCTACAAAGATAAAGGTGTGAGAATACCTTTTCTTATTATTCCTTTTTCATTCTTTTCTTTTGCTCTGTCTACTCATCTCTGCTCTGTGGACCAGACCTAAGGAAGATTTGGCTACACAGTGGAAAGATCTGCAAAGTGCAGATCACGGGACGCAGAATTGAAGAAGGAAAAGGAGTCAACAGGATGAGCTTGCAACAGGAGTTTCTTGCAAAGTGGGTCAGGTCAAACCTGGGCTTGATTTCGATAGGAGAAAAAGTTGAGTGGACTTCAGGAGAGGAGACAAAAATAAAAAAAAGAAGTGAAAAACAAAACCATGAGACACAGCGGGAACATCTTGAAATTTCTCAGCTGGCTTTGAAGGCAAGAGACCATTTGTTGTTGTTGTTAAGTGCTATTGAGTTGGTTCCCACCCACAGTGACCCTTTAAGGATTTCCAAGAAGCAGCTGGTGAGCTTGAACTACCGACATTGCAGTTAAATTAGTCTTACTCATATTTTCCAATCTTTCTGTGGACTTACATGTTTAGTCTGGCTTATTTGGTCCTTCTGTCTTGGGATGGCCTCTTTTTCCTCTTACCATAACCAACAAGTGATAGTAATTGTGGCCATACAGCCAAGCTACAATCACATGCTATAAAACCCCACCATCTGGGCAAGTACCAATATGAGCTTTAATACATCAAAGAAGTGTCTAAAATCCACGCCTGTTAAGACCACTCTGAATTGAGCAGTAAGAACAGTGAAAAGAGAAGCCCATTTCCTGATCACACCTATCAGGAGGCAATTGGAGGGAGCTTAGGAATACACCAACATACATTGGTTTAATTAATACAAATATAAGAACACCATAATGCCTAAAAAAGCAACACCAAATATTCTGCTCATGTGCAGAAATAACACAGAATAAGTCAAATAAATGACCAAAAGGATAAAGAACAGGGTGACCATTGGGTGAAAAACACGTTTGAAATTACATGAAAAGCAATTCAGGAGAATGATATTGAGGTGCATCCAAATGTTCCACAGAAAGGTCAAGGAAAATAAGGGAGAAATCAGAAAAGCCTAACAGGAACAATTAAACAAAATAGATAAAGCATTGGGGACAACACGAAACTTGCAAAAAGAGGTCCAGAGGATCAATACTGAAATATCAGAAATGGACAATACACTGAAAGGACATAGGAGTAGAACTAAAGGGATGGAAGTTGGAATTAGCAAGCTTATTAGAGAAGACAGACCTCTCAGTTCTTATTAGAGAAAACATATCTCTCAATACTGCTAGACAGAAGAACAAGCAGAAAAGAGAATAATGAAAATTGATGAAAGTCTGAGATTAATGTGGGATAACATGAAGAGGAATAACCTATGGGCGATTGGAGTTTCAGAACAGGAAGAACTAAAGAAAACCACAGATAGAATCAGAAAGTTACTGGAAGAAAATTTTCCTTACATCTTGAAAGCCAAGAAGACAAACATTCGAGAAGCAGAATGGACCCCAGGCAGGATACACCCAAAAGAAAATAACCAATATATAACATAGTCATACTCTCCAAAATCAAAGACAACTAAAGAATCCTAAAAACTGCTAGGGAAAAAAAGAAATGCCACCTACAAAGACAAGCCAGTTAGATTCAGCTCTGATCTTTCAGCAGAAACCATATAGTCAAGAAGGCAATGGGGAGACATACAGAAAACTCTGAAAGAAAAAAAGCCTGTCAACCAAGAATTATACACCCAGCGAAGCTGTCAATCAAATATGATGGCAAAATCAGAACATTCCAGGATAAACAGAAATTAAGGGATTTTGTAAAAGTCAAGACAGTGCTTCAAAAACATACTCCAAAGCAGTTCTTTGGACTGAGGATCAAAGAGAAGACAATAAACAGAGATTGACATATGTGGCAATACCACCTGGAACTTAGTCCAGAGATGGAAGAGTCCAGAATAGAGCAAAACTACAAGAATGAAATTAGACATCAGTGAAGTCAGTCTATGATCTGAATAACTATAATATGAAGGAGTGGAAAAGTATGAGATCCAGGTGATGAAGAGGTCAGGTAGAATTCTGGACAAAACAGACTATTTTATAAAAAGGAAGCAATAAATAAAACATAGGGTAATCTCAGAGAAACGTAACTCATCACAACATGTCAAGAAATGGAAAATCCAAGAAGATTTTAGAAACATTAAAACTATGAAGAAATTGACAAGAAAAAGGATACAAAATGAACTCAGCACAGCAAGCCATGCAGAAAAAGAAACCAGCAGCATCACAAGAAACAAAAATAATGACATCAATTAATTCCTATCTATCAATAATTACACTGAATATCAATGAATTAAATACATCAGTCAAGAGACAGAGAGTGGGAGATTGGATATGAAAACAGGATCCTTCAATGTGCTGTTTACAAGAGACACACCCTATGTATGAATACAAAAATAGATTAAAAATTTAAGGACAAAAACAATATACCAAGCTAATAGCAGTAAAAAACGAGCTGGTGTGGCAATACTAATCTCTTATAAAATAACTATAAGGTAAAAGCTAGCATAAGAGACAAAGAAGTACATTATCTCATGTTTAAAGTGTCAATTGAACAAAAGGGCATAACCATAATAAACACCTATGCTCCCAGTGAAAGTGACTGAAAAGACATAAAGTAATCCCTGACAGAATTGAAGAAAGAAATAGACAACTCTACAACATCATGGGAAAACTTTAATATACCACATTCAAAAAAGGACAGAACAACCAGAACGAAACTCAACAAACACACAAAGGAAATAAACAACACAATAAACCACTTGAACTCATAGATTCATACAGAGAATTCAACCCAACAACAGCACAAATCACATTCTTTTCCAGTGCACATGGAATATTGTCGAGAATAGACCATGTGTTAGGCCACAAAGCAAATCTCCTTAAATTAAAAAACATCAAAATATTACAAAGCATATTCTCAGATCACAATACTAAAAGTTAGCTACAAATAATAGGAAGATCAAGGAATTAAAGTCAAATACATGGAAACTGAATAACACTTTGCTTAAAAGCTATTATGTCGTTAAACAAATAGAAAGTAAAATTTAAAAATTCCTAGAAACAAATGAGCATGAAAACACAATGCCAAGACCTTTGGGACACAGCAATAGCAATGCTGAAAGGATAATTTATAAGACATTGAATACGAAGAAAGAACCAAAATAAAAACATTAAGACATCGCCAGCAATTAGAAAAAGACCAGCAAAGTATACCTACAGTAACCAGAAGAAATGAAATAATGAAGACTAGTGCAGAAATAATAAACAATATCAAAAACAGAAAAATTAGACAACAACCCAACAGGACAATTAGATGATTCTTTGAAAGGATGAATAAAGTTGACAAACAACAGGCAAATCTAAGAAAAGAAAAGAGGGAAAAGATGCAGGTAACATGCATAAGAAACCAAATGGGTGATGTTACAAGTGAACTAATGAAAAGTAAAAAAGGTAATAATAGAGTACTATAAAGAATTATGCTTCAACAAATTTGCAAATCTAGCATAGTTGGATACAAACTTAGAAAAACACAACATAATTAAACTCACAAAGAGTGAAGTAGAAAACTTGAACAGAAAATCTATACAAAAGAGGACATTAAACAGCTTATCAAAAAATTCTCAACCAAAAAAAGTCTAGGCTCAGACAACGTCACTGGTAAGTTTTTCCAAATATTTGGAGAACAGCTGTCATCAATTCCACTCAAACTATTCCAGAGCATAGAAAAGGATGGAAAAGTTCTAATACATTTTTTAAAATTTATATTGTAAATTATGTGATAGTTTACATTGGAGAACACCAGCTTTACATTCATCCTATCGCATTTCATTTCATTGAAATGATTACAATCCCCTCCAAACATCATCAAACAACCAAAGGGTAGACCCCGCAAGTCTGCCCCATGGCTATAAGCACACAGCCCCTCTCCCTTCCTGAGTCCAGAGTCCCCAGCTGCTACATCTCTCCATGTCATCCTCTCTGCCTCCATTTCTGACATCACTGCTTCTCTGGGTGGGGTCTGGCACTCTGTTCTTCTTACTTGATGGTCCCAGGGACCTCCACTTCCAGATTGAAAAATCAACCATTTGCCTCCTTTTGTTACAAAACATCTACCTTTACATTTCTGACACTCACAGTCAGTCCTGATAGCAATTATTCACTATTGTACCACAAGATACTATTGTATCCTATCCCCATCTCCTTTCATCAGTCCCACCCAGACAGATTGGATACTATACAGTGGAGACTTTACCTTCCTCTTCACCCTCTGGATCTAGGCTCCCTCTCGAAAGCTTGTAAGCCAGTCACTTCTTGCCTTTGTAGTACCCCATTTTGAGTATCCAATATCTAAATTGCCCATCCCTGTCAACCCTGTGTACCAAGGGGGTGGGAATGATCCTCGCTGTAAAGATTTGATCCCTCTTTTGAGCTACTACATCCATAAATATAGGTAAAGTTCATCAAACTGTAGTTGATGACTGGCTTTTTTCCTCTTCTTTCTTCTTCTAGTTGAGTTCTGAATATCCAGCCATTGAAGTCAGGTCAAGTGGGTACAATCTGCAAGTATGGGTGTTATTGTGCATCTCCCCTAACTTCATATCACCTAGACTCTACACTCAGCTCTAGCCCTCTGTGGCCATGCCCCTGTCTCTGGGCCCAAGAGTCTCCAGGCCTTGCCATACCTGGTCAACCATGTCTCAATCAAGGTTCACAAGAGTCTATTGAACGAGTTCGGATTTAGCTCACAACTGCATTGCTGTTTTCCCTATACTTTCCCATACCGCCTACCAACGTGGTCACCAGCCAGATCACAAGCCTGCACACATATTTCTTTGAGTCTTAGTCTTGGAAGGGGGTTTACTCTGAGGGATCCTGATCACTTGCCTTAATGGCTCCCAGGCAAACAGCTTTGTTGTTCTTGCAGTACTCAATCAGACTGCCATTATTGTTTTTTATTTTTCCTGCTAGTCTTTCTTTTACAAAGTATCTTCTTTTCTTCTAGCAGATCCAAGCTGGTCTACTTGCCTTTCAAGTGGAAATTTACCACCTCAGAAGATTCTGGATGGGATTCAGGATTCCACCTATGGTTTTATGTAATGCAAAGGTTCCACAGCAAGCCTCTTTCACTCAGCAAGTTCTAGCCTCCTTTAAGGTATTCCAATCAGTTATAGACTGAATAAGGATTTACAAGCTTTCTATTGTGATGTTTCTGGCTATTCCTTTCTCTCCCCCTCAAGTGTCTATTTTACTATGGTGTGCAAGGGAAAACAAACTTCAAAAGACAGCCAAGTATCTTAAAATTATTTCCCCTCTATTATCCATTCAAACCATGCCTCAATACCTGTATCCTAGAGCCTTGTTGTTCCAAGGTGGTACATACATCATTATTTACCTCTGTCCCACTTAGCCCATGCAAGCCTGCTTAACTGTTCTCCCATACACTCTGTTCTTCCATTCCTCTCCCTCTTCTTGTGTATTGTCCCTGCCCCAGCATCCAAGATATCCTGTGTCCATTCCCTATGTTGTGCTCCATCTTTCCTTCCCTCCCCTCCCCTCATCCAATACTTCCTGGTGATCAGCAAATATATATATATATATATATATATATATTCCCCCCTTTTAGGAGGTGTTCTTATTAACCTTTTACAGTAATGGTCCTATGCAATATTTCTCCTTTTGTGACTGACTAATGTCATTCAGCATAATGTCCTCAAGGTTCATCCATGTTATACGATGGCTGACAGTTTCCTTGTTATTCTTCAAGGTAACATTGTATTCCATTGTGTGTATGTACCATAGTTTGCTTACCCATTCTTCTATTTATGGGCATGTAAGCTTTCTCCATTTTATTTGCTATTGTAAATAGTGCTGCTATGAACATTGATGTGCATATATCTACTCGTGTTATGGCTCGTATTTCTTGAGGGTAAATACCAAGCAGAATAATTGCTGGATCACAAGGTATTTCTATTTCCAGCCTTCTGAGGGAGGACCATATTGCTTTCCAGAGTGGTTGGACCATTTTGCAATCCCACTAATAATGTAGGAGGCTCTCAGTCTCTCTGCATCCTTGCCAGCGTTTATTTTCCTCTACTTTTTTGATCTTTGCTGTTAGTGCTGGGTGAGATGATATCTCATTTATTTTGATTTTCATCTCTTTAATGGCTAGTGATTGTGAATATTTCCTCATAGGTTTGTTGGCTGCCCGGATCTCCTCCTTGGTGAAGTATCTGTTCACATCCTGTGCCCATTTACTAATTGGGTTGTCTTTTTCTTATAGAGGTGTTGTATTTTCCTGTATATTTTACATATTAATCTTGTCCGATGTGTCATTGCCAAAGATTTTTTTCCATTTCTGTGGGCTCCCTTTTTACTCATTTGTTGACATCTTTTGATGCACATAAGTTTTTCATTTTCAGTATGTCCCACTCATCTATTTTGTCTACTTTT